TTAAATGTTTATCTGGAGCAAATGTCCCATAGTAGCATGAGAGAAGGGAGGAGCAGTGAACGCACTTCACTGCGCAGTTTATGTTTTGTTGCATTGATTAAATTATAGAAACACGATAAAGGAATCTTTCTATGGCGGACCAAGCAGGAAGTGACAATCAACAGAGCAGAGCACTCCAACCCCGAAATCCCACATCCTCCATCACCATCGTTCCTTGGTGTGATTTAGATTTTGAGGATTTGGGGAAAAATGGAAAAATATTCACATACCTGCATCAGAGCGCTACCTGTTTGATCTGTGGACGGTTTCTTTTAATGCTTGAAACAAAACTAGCAGCAGTAGTGGAGTTGGAGATGCAATCCACTTGCTTAATCTTTCTTTGCGCTCCTCTAATTTATCCAGAAGTTCTGCAATCACACTTTTTCTCTCACTCACAACTTTGTGATCAGCTGCATATTTCGACTTCAGTGGAAATGCCTTTGCAAATTTCTATTTTTATTATTTGGCAGATTCTCGGGCCAAAAGCAAAAATGCAGGCAATCCTTCCACATTAATAAGAACTATATACATCTGCCTCTTCTTAGGCCTTTCTTTTCTTCTTATACACTTCATAGACACTTTTTCTCTTACGACCCTCGGCCATTTTCAAAGAACCGCGGTGAGAAAGGTGAGCTTCAATGAGTGTCTGAAACCGTAGCTCACCACAGATATACGCCTGAAAGTGCGCATGCACAAAAATGAAAGCTAACGGGACGAACACGTAGGACGGACTTACGTAAACATATCACCAGAATGATTGACAATCAGGAGGACCACTGATTTAGATGATCCACCCGGAAATAAAAAATCATCCTCTATAACTTTAAGTTTACCAAAAGGAATCCCTGTGCATCATCTTATGAAGGTTCATGAATCTTCTTTTCAGCTAAAATGAAAAGAAAGAAGACATTTTGTGGGGATGAAGATGCTTCACAGGCTGCAGGCTGAGACCCAACCAGAGAAGGAAGGACAGCGCTCCACAAGTAGATATATATTTCTTTGTAAAATTGAAATATTTAAGATATAAGTTGACACGCCAATATAACCAGAGCAAAAGGTTAGTCTAAAGTCCTGCTGCTGAATTAATTTGCTGCTCTGGTCTCCTGTAAATATCTTCGGGGTTTCTGACACACTAGATAAACTGACCCAAAGAAGAATTATAAACTGAATCTGTATGTGGGTGGCTCTGTAGCTCTCGTTTTGTCCTCCTCTACATAACCTTTCCTCTTTCTTCCTGTACTGTCACAGCCCCCCCCCCCCTCAGCCACCTCCTCTGGCACTTTGAAAGTGTTTTCTTTATAGCGCAGGGAGAGCAGGGAGAATGAGACGAGGCCTCTCCTTTGCTAACAGGCTGGCCAGAGACAGTAGAAACCGTGTGTATGTGAATCGGCCTGCAGAATAGATTAGAAAAGAAAAAGAGGGAAACGTTAGGTAGAGGGGCTTTAGGCTGCGAGGAGCAGGACAAAGGGAGGAGTTTGCAAAAATGCCAAGGCATAGTTCACTGCAGCAGGCATTTAGAGGGAGGCCAGGGAGCGGGGGAAAAAAAAAAAAGGAGAGAAGCGAGGGAACGAGCTCTGCCTGGGTTTCTGAATGTCTTCTTGTAGAGTCAAACAATTTGGCATTGAAGTTAGAGCTAAGAGAAGTACTGAAAATGCAGGGATGACACAGATGGATTGTAATTTAACGATTATTGGAATCTTTACCAGCTACTTACCTTGACGATTTAGAGCAGCGTATGCCTGACGTACACAAAATCTGGCAAAAACACTGGCCAATGTTGGATAAGTTAGGAGCACGCTGAAGTATGCTGAAACACGCCGACGTACGGCAAGTACGTCAAGAAAATTTGATCATGCTCAAAATTTCATGACGTATGCTAGCGTATGCTAAGTTACAGTAACTTACAGGTCAGTTATCTGATACAGGGTTCCTACAGCATAAGGCAAGTTAAATTCAAGACTTTTTAATGCCACTTGAAATAAAAATTTAAGACTAAATTCACAAGAAACACAAGAAAAACCTGCTTACGACAACTTAACCCAAAGGTTTATTCTAACATAAACCACTGCACTAATGTTTAAATTTTGGAAAACTTCCCATACAGACAGAAAGCTAAAAAAAACACAAACTTTTTAAGGACCCGCAGGAACCCTGTGTTAGTTAACATACGTTCAGTGTAAGTTACTCATTAGTCGCGGCGTCAACTAATCCACAACTTCTAGCTGACTTGTGCATAACTTATGCAGGGCGACAGTGGCGTTGGATGTAGGAGTTTGCCCTGAAATCGAACGGTTGACGGTTCAAGCCCCGGTTCCGACTTTCAGTGTCATTGTGTCCTTGGGCAAGACACTTCACCTGCATTGTCTACTGATGGTGGTCAGAGGGCCCCGAGGCGCCAGTGTACGGCAGCCCCGCTTCTGTCATTGAGCCCCAGGGCAAGCTGTAGCTTCCCACCATCAGTGTGTTAGTGATGGGTGAATGACTTAATGTAGTATAAAGCCCTTTGGTCAAGTCTCAACTTATCAAGAACTTCTCTCCAATACATATCAACGTATCTGACGTGTTCCAGACGAGCGCTGAAGGTGTTTCTAACTTCCAGCTACTGTATAATGGCGTATTGGCAGTGTTTTGGTATAAAGGGGGTTCACAGGAGGAAACCATCAGTTCTCCTCCCGACTTCATCCCCATCATAGGGTGAGCTAGAAGGTGAGTGTGATGGATCCTCCCTGCGTTCATGACCACGAACAAACTTCCTAGCAGACATGATGCTCAATCTGCTGCGACTGCAAACCTTTTTTCTTTTATTTATTTCTTGTTTTTGGCAGGCGGTAAATGGCAGCCGGGTTAATAAAGCAATCAAATGAATCGTTTTATGCATAGCCAGTGCCTCAGGGCGCATTGCTGCCCCATCCTGGACACTGGATTGTGACATTTCATGGGCATTACGCTTATGTCTAACGACAGTTAGGCTGTCGTTAGACATAAGTTCTGGACTCGTTATGAATACTCTATGTGTACGCCAAAAATTGATACATAGAATTCTGCTAAAATACATAGAAAGTTCAGCGTATGCCAGCGTTTTAGAAGATTTTTGGAAGTCGGCCATACGCTGGCTAAACCGGCAAGGTGCAACTGGGCCCTTAAGGCTGTTACTTCGAAACTAGGTCGTCTGCATAGGTGTCATAGTGAACAAAAAGACGTCCCCGCCCCTTCCGCAGACACTCTGCTACACCTCTCCCAAATTGTAGGTGACCGCAGACAGGATGCCATTTTGTTTTGTTTGTATGACCGCCATTGCGGAAAACAACTCGTGAAGATGGACCAGCTAGAAGAGCGAGGTGTGCGAGAACGCTGGGACCCTTTTTCCACCTGGATCCCCGCTCCTTTTCGCCGTCATGTCCCTCCGTTGTCGGACGAACTTGCCCCCACTTCCTCACCGCCTCGGCCGTTTCTAGACCCACAGCGTATAGCACAGACCACGCTTCAAAATTGAGCATAAATCAAAAATGTCTGCATCAAGCTCACTGCGACGCACTGCTGCGGGGAATAAAACCAGCACTTTAGTCCTGTATAATCTTTAACAGACTCTAAAACATATCATTAACTTACAGAACAATCTTCTCAAAGCAGTAATGAAGCCACAACTTTACAAGAACCTATAGCTTTTGCATTTAGGATTATCCAGAACCCCTTGAAGTGGAAATGAAACGGTTAACCAAACTAGCTTTATGTTTCATGAGATTGTGCTTGGAATCCTGAGGTTGTGAGTTTGAAACCCACTCCCACAGACAGTCCCTGAGCACACTGGAAAAACAATCTAAAAATAAGTAAAAATATCTTAAATTAGGTGAGCGATTTGACCGCAACCATCTTAAGACGGCAGACAAAATTTCAAACATGTCTGATTTTCTCCCGACCTTACGATTCCTGATGGAAAGGTGGTCGTAAGAGGCTGATCACCGCTTGTGTACTTAACGACGCATGATCAGGCTGAAAGTTGGCCCGATCAAATAACTCTCGCACGACTGGAGAATCGGCCCGAAAAAGGCAAAAAAATCGTACAGTGTATGCCCAGCTTAAGGCACATTGCTCAGCCATAACAGCTTTAAAGGACTCCAGACCACCTTGTTCAGCACTAGTTGTCATGATCTGGCCTGTTTGCTCTCCCTTAATTAGTCATTCCTTTCACCTGTCGTTTTTTCCCTCCCTGCCTCAATTATAATTTATTCCTCTCACCTGTTTCCTGTTGGTTATATTCAGTTCAGCCTGAGCATTCAGGGCCAGATCATTACGTGTCTGTTAGTTCTGTTTTAGTTCACGGTTCATGTCCTGGATCCTAGCAGCCAGTGGAAAGAGGGTTTTGTGTTTGTCTCGTCTCCTGATTGTCCACTGTCCCTCCCCCGCGGGAGTCCTCTGGGTTTTTGGCTCAATATGTGGGGAGGTTCAGTTTTTATCCAGTAAGCCTGGCTCCAGGGAGGAGACCAGTTTAAAGTCCTGCATCAAGTTCTGGTTCCACGTCCTGTCTCGGCTACCCTCTTCCACTGAGCCTGCCTGTCTGCACCTGATCCTGTCTGCTCCTGTGCGTGACCACCTGGTCAGATTGGGCGGTGCCGCGCCCCCCCGCCTGCAGTGTCCGCGAGCCACAGCTCCGCTTTTTGTTTTGTTTATTTAATAAACCTTTTGAACTTTCCTACTGACTGTCTCTCCTTGAATACTGGGTTCATCTGTCTCCGTTTCATGACACTAGTCCTCTTATAAAATCTAAAATACACATTAAAATTGGACTAAATCATGTCTTAATAAGAAGTTTCTGATTCTGAACCATTTCTTTTCTGTTTGCAGAAGCGATCAGGGTTCAATTTACATGTTAGCTGTGGGAAGACCTGCTAAAAACATGGATCCACTGCTAAGAAAAGAGACCGTATAATATAATCCAGAATAATGTGAAAGCCCTTACTTACCATGAGACGATTCTGGAACGGGAGCAGCAGGGAGAGGCCGCCGGGACCTTGGTTGACTCGATGGGTGGGCCATTTTAACCGGGCCAACAAACTCCACGAACGTTCCTGGGAAGTCGCCTCTCTGTTTGGTGCGTTTGTTGTACCCTAGGAGCCAGCCTAGACGCTGCGGGTGCTCCTCACAGCCCTCCTCGTAGGTCAGCATCGACACCAGAGAGGCCTTGCTGACAGTCAGGAGGTCTCCTGGCTGGAGATCCAAGTCCTCCTCCTGGTCCTTGGTGAACCAGTAGAGGGCACGGTACTGGAAACCCTCGGCCGCCATTTTGTAGAGCAGATGAGTTCCTTTTTTGATAACCGCTTGGTCTTTAAAGAAACTGAAGCTGGAGCGGAGTCACTGGAAGGTGCTGTTGGTGTCTAGACTGAAGGAGGAGCAAGTCACCCAAAGCTTAGAAGCATTTTTACCGCTTCATAAGAGAGCTGCTGTAACGGGGAGGTGGCAGCAGCAGCTTCAGAGCTGACTGGTGTTGCTGCGCCCCTGCACTTTCCTCAGCTTGATACCCCGGTTAAGCCAAATGATGGAGCAGAGGGAGAGCGTCGGCAACATGCTCCTTCAAAAAAAACTCAACTCCGGCACTGCTTTGGTTGCTGTGGTGAAGGATGGCGTCGCTGGATCTCCACGCTCCAAACAGACGTCTAAGTTGGGAGGAAAACGTGGAGCGGAAAGCTCCGTAGTTCCTTCGAATGCGTTCAAATTAACGGGAAGGATTGACGACTGACCTGCGTAGCAGAAACAAAAAGAAAAGAATACCAAAGTAAATAAAAAACAATGGGTTACAAACGGCTTAACAGGGAGAGCAAAGCATTGCATTAAAAATGGCGAACTGCGACAGCTCCATGCATCCGTGTGGTCGACGCTGCTGCGTCATAACCCGGGCAGGAGCCTCCGAGGCCCTCTTTCAACCTTCCAAAAAAAATATATGACGTAGTTCGCTCTAACACCGCACCAAAAAGTTTTCTTTTACTCTGACTGAAAAGTCTGGATTAAGAGAAGTTGGAATGTGAACATTCGATCCACAAATCAGCTGCAGTGGAGCCACATTTCTCCCAAACAAGCAGGAGAGATTCCTGGACGGGACAGAAGTGGCAACTCTGTTTTCTCAATTTAATCATTCATGTACACAGATTCATATGAACACAAACAAAATCCACACAGCGTGTTAAAAATCAGCTTCAAAAGGACAAATAGAGTCAAAAATCTGAATATTCAACATAGACTTTCCTTTCATTGCCATCTATACCTTAGAAACTGGTACCCAGATTATAAAATAAATTCAAAGAGACCAACGCACAGAGAAATTATGCAATGAGAAAAAAAAAACGGGAGATCACAGCTTCAAGATCCGACATCTTTGGTTTTTGTTACGAAGCGAAGGAGGCAGAAAGGCGACTGCTGAATTCGGCCGATAGCAAAAAAAAACACAAACAAACAAACAAAAATAATCCAAAATGGCTAATCTGAAATAACCGAGGCCCCGGGTCTGTGAGGCCTGCTGCTCTGCCAACATTTAAGGGAAATGACCATGAAAGACGACATTTAATAAAAACGGTGAGTGCACGGTGGGAACTATCAGGACAAGAGCTTAAAACAATACGGCAAATGTCCAGCTAGAATGTTTTTAAAGCTTCACACACGTTTACCGGAAACCCCTGAGTAGGGATATAGATTCATCAGGACCTACTTTTATGTTTAAAGCGATGCTAAAAGGCTTTGGGTAATAACTGGATGCAGGAACGTGCAAAAAAAAAAAAAAAGGAACCAAACTCACCAGAGTTTTTTTTTTTTTTTTCATTGAGCCGGACGGGTTCAGCGAGACTCACGGTCCCACATCCTCTGAATCGACAGGCGAGAAGTGCCAGGCTGAGACACGTGGCACTGGCATACCCAACCACAGCCCGCAATCCTCACACCCCCACCCCCAACCCTCCCAAAAAAGCCTCATTTCTCCACCTGCTCCTCACCCCTGCAACCCAAACCCCCAAAAAAACATGCCAAAAAAGTCCAACCCTCCTTCCCTGATTGTCCTCCTGAGAAGAAGTCCTGATATCTTTCCAGCAGCCATGCTTCATTCACTCACTCAGAGATGCAGCAAGAATAAAAATAAAGATTGAAAAATAAATGAGCACGAGTTTGGAAATATAAAAAAAGAGTTAAGGTCCTGATGAGAGTGGGTTCCAGGCAGCACAGCGTCCCCTATTTTTCCCTCCCAAACACTTTTTTTTATTTTAGTCTGGGCAGAGAGAGCGACACAAAAGCAGCGCGAGAGAGACGGAGCAGGCACAAGAGGGCGACCGCAGAAAAATAAATAATGAACCAGGCAGCAAACAACTCACTGTTGCTAGAGAGAGGGAAAGCTGGTCCTGCGCTCTGATTGGTTCCCCCGTCGGGCCATGTGCCTCGCAGTCACCCGGAGAAACCGGGCAAATCAAGGGAAACGTTCTAATATTAGAAAATGTTTCCAGCTGATCGAAAAACATGCAACGGAAAGCTCTCTGAAGTATAAACGGCTGGATGTGAAGATACTATTCTAAAGGAATCCATCCTTCCTCAGCTGAGGAGGTGAAACATTACATGGCAAGACTAGTGCCTGCACGGGATTGGAGGAGGACTCATGAGTCATGCTGTAGTTGTGCAGCAGGATCAAGTGGATGAAAGCTGCAGAAACTGTGAGAAAAAAGAGGGCAAACTAATCAGGAGGAGATTAAACAAATGTGTTTGATGTCTGCTGATTCCTTTTATGGATTAAGGACTCTTTAGGACTGATTCTCCTTTGCAGGGATCAGCTGTTTATTTGAGATCAAAATGAACATTTGGAAGATGTCAAATGAATCCGAGATGCTCATCAAACATCAGCAGATAAGAAGAACACCACGATGACGCAGCTTTAGGGTCCAAACACCACGCAGTCCAGATTTATGTAATATATATAATATAAGTTGGGAGTGGCGGCCTAGTGGTTAGGGCATAGGGCTTTGAATCCTGAGTTGCAGACTGCAACTTTTGGTCTCTAAGCAAGACCCGTAACCCCACACTGCTCCCCTGGCGCCACACAATGGCAGCCCACTGCTCCCCAAGGGGATGGGTTAAATGCAGAGAAGTAATTTCCCTCTGGGATTATTAGAGTATGTAAAATACAAAAAAAATATATTATATATATATTAGGGATGCACGATATAATCGGCCCCCTATCGGTATCGGCCTTAAAACTGAATATCGGACATCGGCCACCCCACCGATATTTAACCCGATATTTGATCAGCTTCTGAGTTTCTAAAGTCTAAAAAAAGAAATACTACTTCTTCTTCTTCCTCAAAAACTTCTTTTTTACAGACTTAAAAACTTCTAAAGACGAGGGAAAAAATATTGATACATTAAAATATCACAATATCTTCATATGCTGATATATTGCCATTTAAAAACACCATATCAATCTCTTTACTAATGAAATAGTGCTATATGTCATCGTTATGCTACGAAATCCCCCGAAAATTCACGAAATTTTGCCATATTTTTATATGTTGATATATTGACGTGGTATTGATCTATTTTACTAACAAAATCTCACAAGAATTCGCAAAATATCACGAGAGTTTGTAACAGAACGATGAGATTTTGAAAGTAAAATAGATCGCTACCGTGTTTTTAAAAATCTATTTGATATCAGCATATGAAAATATATTTGAGTTTATTATTTTTCAAAGTGTCAGAAATGGATAACAAAACTGCTATTTTCAATGACTACTTATTTTTGTCCAGCTTTAACATCAGTATCGATATCGATTATCGGCTACATGAGTTTTAAAATATCGGCATATCGGATATCGGCCAAAATCCCAATGTCGTACATCCCTAATATATACATATATATATAAAACAGCTTATTTTTATTGGATGATTTTTTTTCCAGCCAGGGCCAGCCCAAGGCATCAGCAAACTAAGAGACTGATTAGGGCCCCACAGCAACAAACAATTTCGGAATAAACGTGCAATATTATGTCAATATATCTTTATTCGTGTGGAAATTAGCAGTTTTGTCAACATTCCATTGATTGGAAGTGCAAAAATACAGACATAAAACAGAAAAAAATGAATTTTCAAAAATTAAAACGGAAAAAACGGAATTTAGGAAAAAATTTAACAGAATTTGGGAAAAAAATAAAACAGATTTTATAGGGCCCTCCAGTACAATAATTCAAAGTTATTGTTAGCATTAGAAGGGCTGTTTATGACATTATAGTTAGAGGTCAGAGAATTTTTTTTTTCATGATTTATTTATAATTTCATTATCATGGAACAAACGAGTTCAGCTGTGAAATAATGCGGGATATTGGGATAACCGCTCTAATTTAGTTCCAGCAGATGCCGCCATTCTAAACTGTATCAAATATAATCCAGCATGGTGTCAAGTTTTAGCCAGTTGTGTCAAACTGGTTCACAAGGCTTTGATATTTTCATCACTACTGATATGGCGGAAAACATGGCTTGAAGCGCCACTAGTGAAGATATTAGTGTGACTTATTAGGACTCGTGCCCTCACCGAGTATGCTCTTGAGAAGATCACAGGAAAGTCTGGACTGGGGGAGAACGGGAGCACGCAGCATAAATATGGGTCAATTGGAACAGAAGCGTACTGATGACATCACCACATGCTTGGCTCTTCTGGAGCTGCATTTCTCCTGTTATTAATAGTCTCTAGATAATAATAAATTCGTACTTTTTTCATTTAGTTTGGGAATAATAATGAACACAGATAAACAAAAATAAAATTTACATTTTGCCAAATAAAACAAACAAAAATATCGGCATCATAGCCAGCGGTCCTTCACACACGGCGATGCAGAGAAAGGGATGCTGCAGACGGGCTAAAAGTAGCCCTGGCTGCCATTACCCTCGGAGGTAAATGGGCCATATAGTGACGCTTAAAAGTATAATGTTCTCGCCTCAA